GGGAAAGAGCCATAAAGGAGAGGGGGTGGGGGAATTTGGGTCACATTCCCAACTTCCCCTACAACCAAACACAGTATGCCCTCTGCATTATCAATGTAGGGGTCTCCTCATCTCCTATATGTTTTGAGAGACTGAAGTTCTTTCTTGACCGAGAGCCAGTCCATGACTGTCTGGAGGAAGGAGGGGTTTGTATTTCTGGCCAGTCCCTGTCCCCCATTCTAGACGCTCCCTGACAGGTATGACCTAGGAGTCCGTGATGGTCGAGATGGAGTCTATTCCGTGGCTTGTGCTGAGGTGAATCCCACACTCTTCTCGTCTTCCAGCTTCTTCTTCCTGGAACAGGGAATGGACATGGCTGGTGCACTAGGAGAGACAGCCAAGTGGACTAGGAGAATGCTTTTCAGTAGGAAAGAAGGGACCAGAGGAAGGGGAAGTAGGGCCTCACTGGATTTTCTTAGCGATGAAATAAATAACCACCACAAGGCAGAGGCTGCCAACCAAGATTCCCACTCCTATGCTCAGCATTTCACCTGGGAGAGAGAGATGGGGGTGTCAGCCTAAGACTGACAGACACTGAGCCCTTCCCTTCTCGTTGAGGAGCCCCCCTCCCCAGTAACTGGGCAGGTGCCTTACCTGTGGTATACGGGGATTCGTCTGTAAGGAAAGGAAACTTGGGTCAGCGGGGCGTCAGAGCCCCGTCCCAGCTTGCCCCTGTAACTTGGGGAGGTCACCTGGCCACTGAGGGTTGGGGCCTGGTTCCCAGTCCAAGTGAGTCCTGGAAACCCTTACCCTCTTAGCCTTCTTTTCCTTCCAGGGGCCCCCTAGTTCCTGCCATGGAGAACCCCAGTTTCCCCCCTCCTCTTCGAGCTTTGTACAGTCACCTTGGTTGAAAGAAGCAAGGACTTTCCGCTGATTGAGAGGTTGTGGGACTCGGTAGGTCTGTTCCAGGACCTGAGCGGGCTCCCTCTCCCTAGAGAGTAGTGTCTCCTGGAGCTTTTCCAGCTAGAAGAGTGGGGATCGAGGAGAGTGTCACTTAGGTGCGGGAAAGGGTCTGGGGTTACAGCTGTGGCTTTGCTGCCTCACCTCCCCACCACTCACCTGGCCCGCTGAAATCTGGATCTTCTGACTGAAGACGTCCAGACCA